TGTCTGTGGGCCATTTTCTCTCCACAGTGCCTCCTCCTTCCTCCATGCTCTTGAAGAAATATGTTAATTCTAACACTAGCTTCCCATATTCCCCCCACAAAAAACATCAAAACAGAAGAAACCCCTTGGTTTTGTTAAAAACTTGAGAAACATTGTCCATGTATTTATACATTTGCTGTTAGATATCTTCCCACCTGGACAAGAACAAAAATCTGTATGTGTGTAAATTAAATGATCCATTAAAGAAATTTAAAAATATGACACTTTTTAAACCTATTGGATTTTAAGAAAAAAATACATTGTATAATTCAAGTCAAATGAAAGTGATTCTTGGACTATTCCTTCTAAAACTTCTTTCTTTTAGCATGAAAAAAATAAGAGTTGAGTATATCCTACAGTTTTTGTGAAATATTTGGATGTTGACCCCTTTGCCATTTTAGGCCAAGGAGACTGGAATTTTCTCTAAACTGAATTGAAGTCTTCTTAAAATACTGTGATATTTATGTGGCAAACAGAAAAGTCAAGTCTCACGTGGCTGCGACCCATGCATTGAAGCGTAGCAGGCCTTCTCCTACACCATAGGACAGTCAGTCCCCATCCAAGTCCTTCTGGGACAGGATTCCTTGTAGGTCTTGACCCTCAGTGCCCAATAGAGAACAACTAACAAGTCATGAGTGTTGGGGGAAAGAACCACTGTGAGGATTGAAATTGAATTTATTTAGCTCAGTTCATCAGAAGGAACACTGAGAGTGGATAATCAGTAGCTTGTCAGAATTTTCCCTAAGAAGAGGTTAAGGAGGCAGGTGTCAGATTTCCCAGGAGGATTTTTAGCAAGATGGTAGGAAAAGCTTAAATATGAAACTTGAGAGCATATGGAGGAGTTGTTTGGAAAGTCTCTTCTGATGCATTTAGATAAAGAATCTGTAGTTGTCTTTGTGCATTTGCATGTGTGTGTGTCTGTGTTTCCGTCTCTAGAATCAAGGGGATGGGCTGGATTAGGGGCTCCCAGTCCCTGTGGAATACAGATATAACCTCAGTAGTTGACTCTTCACAGCACTGTGTGGTCTTAGATCTTCCTGTGGAAGAGAAACGTGCTACAAATGCTTACAAACATCTCAGTGTCCTTCCTTAATTTTATGTTTGATTTAGGGCTAACAACGCCTGCTTCGATACTTTCATGATGCAACGTTAGCTCCAAGGTTCTGGGATGTATTCTTCAGCAGGGGAGAGATCCAGGAGACTGGATTTGGCATTGTGGCCGTGGAGAAGTGTTAATCATCCTGAACTTGTTTCTCCTTCTGTAGAATAGTAGGGATCAAAATCTTTACTCACCTCTAGGGGACCTTGTGAGGAGAAAATGAGATATATATGTATGTAAAGATGTTTTAGCAGTTGCTCCTTTTTGATGGGAATCCTTTTCTGGGGAGGAATGTACATAGTTCTCCCCATTTCTGTTACTTGATTTCCTGATAGAGACAAAAATTAGTTAGGTGTCAGAAAGCAGTGGTGAGCAGGGCAGCTATAATCCTTGCTCTCTGGAGCTTTAATATCTACCTACTTGTCTGGTACCTACTTGGAACAACCTTTTTTCTGCCTTACTTTTGGAAGAATGAGTCTCTCCATCTCTTCCTCATAGGTCACTCATTCCCACTGCCCTCCTCACTCAGTTTCTGTCCCAGTCTTTAAATGTTGGCTTTCCTTAAGCTCTGTCTTAGGTACTCTTGTCCTGTAGAGCCTCCTGTAAATATCCAGTTCCCTACTTTTGAAGTCCTTTCTCCTTTTCTTCGCTGTCTGAAAGGTGCTTCAAATTCACCATGTCTGAAACTGAACTGAGGACCTAAACACCGCCCCTTCTACCCCCTAACCTGGTCCTGTTTTGATCTGTGTGTCATTGAGTTGTCCAGTATCTCATCAACTTATTCTTATTTTTTTTGTAAAAGATTTTATTTCTTTATTTGACAGCGAGAGATACAGCAAGAGAGGGAACACAAGCAGAGAGAGTGGGAGAGGGAGAAGCAGGCTTCCTGCCGAGCGGGGATCCCGATCCCGGGTCAATCCCAGGACCCTGGGATCATGACCTGACCTGAAGGCAGATACTCAACAACTGAGCCACCCAGGCGTCCTTCATCCAGTTGTTTAACCCAGAAACCCATGTCTCTCTCGATCCTGCTGTTTCTAAATTTCACATACCCACTTCATTACCAAGTTGCATTGTTTTTGTCTTAAATTCCTGTCAGAGTCTCCATTTCAGTTTTCAGTGATGTTTTCAAGCTACCATCATCATCCTTCACACAGACTCTGCATATATACCATTCTCACTGTTCTCATATGTATTTCTGCTTCCTAGCCTATCCTCCACACTTGAGAGAGATTTTTCTAGTACTTAAATATATTCATGTGGTTCTGAAATTTTAAAAATATGGAAAGGTGTTCAGTGAAGAGCCTTCTTTCCTTGTGTACCGAGGTTACCCATTCTATGCATATGTAAGGAAATACTAACACAGGCTCTTTCTAAAACATCACTATAATAAAGGGAGTTATATTATGCATCCTTTTCTTCGGCCTGGTGGGTTTTTTTTTCCCCCATTCAACAGTATATCTTGGATATTTTTCCATCGCAGTACAAAGAAAATACCCACATTTGTTTTTATGGCTGAATATATTCTATTGTAGGAATGTTGAAATTGATGCACGTTAGGAGAAAATATCTTTTACTATCTAGGGTGTTTCATTCTTCTTCTTTGGACAACTTTGTTATGAATTCCCATTTGTTACGCTTAGGGAAGAAAAAAGCTAAGCTCCCACTTGCCAGGGCTCTCAAGGGCTAGCCCTTCTTCAGGATTGTCTTGTAGTTGTCTTCTCTTCATCCTCTACTTTTGAGTTGTATGGATGTGCACTATCTTTTATTTCATCCATGTTCTATGTTCCTTCCCTCCTGAGACGTCTGCCTAAGCTCTTAGTCTCACATTCAGACTCATTCCTTTTTCTTCCTTTTTTTTTTTTTAAGATTTTATTTATAATTTGATAGAGAGCGACATAGCAAGAGAGGGAACACAAGCAGGAGGAGTGAGAGAGGGAGAAGAAGGCTTCCCGCTGAGCAGGGAGCCTGATGTGGGGCTGGATCCCAGGACACTGGGATCGTGACCTGAGTGGAAGGTAGATGCCAGGCGCCCCACTTTCTCTTCCTTTTTTCTTGGTGGCACCCCTCCTTCTTTTCTTTTTTTCTTTAACTTCTAATCTACTTAAGTCAAATCTCAGCTCAATTTCCCATTTCCTCAAGGTGTGCTTACTCTGGCAATCCATGGCCAAGTGAGAGCTTTCTGATAGAGTCTGCTGGCATTTTGGCTTCTTCCTTTGAGCAGTTATTATCATATATTTAAATGTGTGATTACTAGATTGATACTTATCTCACACACTTAAAATAGTGTTTCTCTTATAGTGGGTTGCAGCCCATTATGGGTTATGAAATCAGTCTTAAAAGTTATAAGCCCTTTTGAAAAATACAATAGAGAATATCAGACCCTTTCACTTACAGTCAGGGTCTTTTTTCATCATACTTTTGCTTCAGATTAATAGATAATAGATGTCATCACATAAACACTCATATATACAGATATGTTGGGCTTGATGTAAATTGTTGCTGTTGTTGGTCCTAGTCAAAAATAATTTGTTGGTAAATTATATGAGGACAAGAATTCTGTCTATTTTGCACACCATTTCATTCTCAAGTCTAGCAGGAGTCACTCAATAAATATGTTGGCTCAGTGAATGAATGAATGAATGAATGAATGAATGAAGGCACACCTTTCCAGGGAGATTCACAGACTCACTGCTCTCCTCTTAGGGACTAATGGACACTGGTTCTATGCAGATGTTAGTGATTGTTTCCTTGGCCAGTTCCTTCTTAGATCATTAGAAGAAAAGAAATGCAATGTACAGCCAGACTTAAACAAATGTATTTTTTTTAAGATTTTTATTAATTTATTTGACAGGGAGAGAGAGATCACAAGTAGGCAGAGAGAAAGACAGAGAGAGGTGGGGAAGCAGGCTCCCTGCTAAGCAGAGAGCCCAATGCGGGGCTTGATCCCAGGACCCTGATATCATGACCTGAGCCGAAGACAGAGGCTTAACCCACTGAACCACCCAGGCGCCCCAACAAATGTACTTTTTAAGGGTTGGTGAGATTAAACACTACTGATGAAAGGTTTTTAGACTTAAATTTTTTAATATTTCTTATGAATCTCAGGCCTTAAATACCATTTTTTAAAAATAAATAATGAAACTTAATTTTTACCTGCCTAAGTATCTGGATAATTTTTGAATTTCTAAGGTAGTTTACACACAGGGCTTATGACATGGCTATAATCTTTTGTGTGTACTTCAGCAATAAAATATTTATGCAGTTTGGCAAGGTGATACTACAACCTGGTTTAGTACAACAGCTGCACTGCCTGTTCCCATGTGGTTTGATTTCCCTTTTTAATCTTCAGTTTTCTGCAACTAAAGACTATGTCAGCATGTAGTTTATACGGCAGCAGATAACAGTGAAAGCTTCTTGAATTAACATAGTAAAGAGAAAAATACTCTGCTCAGTTCACTTGGTTTCACATTTTTCTCATGTCTTTGAAAAACATTTTCCTAACATATCCTACATAGTAGAGCTTTATAAACATCATGTATTTACAATGAGACATTTTTGTGACTTTTTTATTCTTTAGAGAACTTGTAAACTCCTCTCCAAACGTTTAGTTTAAAATATCTCAGTTCTGCAGTGATCTGCATTTTAGCGTAGCACAAATCAAGAAAATCCTGGAAATAAGAGAATGATTTTTATATTTATTTTCAGTCATAAATTTGTATGTATAATTGAAATTGAGGGTGGCTTAAAAAGTGTGTAGGCAAAAAGTGGAGAATCTTAATTCTTTTCAAGTTTATTATCAGAGCCCTTTAGCACAGAGTTTTTATCTAGCATATGTGTTATTTTTTCTTTCTATTTCTAGGTGCTCCTGATCCAACAGCAGGTGCTAGTATAGATGATGAAAACTGCTGGCACTTAGATGAAGAGCAGGTTCAAGAACAGGTTAAACTGTTCCTTTCCCAGGGCGGGTACCACGGATCAGGGAAGCAGCTTAATTTGCTCTTTGCAAAGGTATGATTTTTTTTTTTAAAGAAATATTCTAAATATATACATATATAGAAAGTATCTATATATGATGATGTGTACAATAGAATAAAGGCTTCTTTTTTATTTATTTCTTTTTTTTTTTTTTAAAGAAGAGCATCTAAGTTAACCAGTTAGAAACTATGACGTTGTAATGCATTAATTTACTTAGCTATCCTTAGTCAAGATGTGAAACATTTTTGTTTCCCATTATTAAAATGGTGACAGTTTATACAATTTCGGAAAAACGTCCAAACTCAAAAGTAAATAGCTTAGTATTATTAGAAATACCATATTTTCAAGCTTTTAGTTTTCCTAGTTAATGTTCTCAAGTAGAGCATAATTTTGAATACAGTCCTTAAAATGTGCTTTATATATTTAGGGCTTTTTTTTTTTTTTTTTTTTTAAAAGTTGAGAAGTATCTCTTGTTCCAATCCATAGTCTGTAAATTTTACATAATTATTTTTGTACAATTAATACATGCATATAACATTATATATTTAGTTTAGTAATGTTCAGTATATTTAAATTCGTTTCAAAAGCATGGACTTTGGAATCATAAAGTCCTGGCTTTAAATTTAAACTCTAAATCTTATTGAATGTATGAACCTTGACAAGTTACTCAAGTCAGTTTCCTCATCTATAAAATTAGCTAATGATAACATATCTCCTCATGTTGTGATTAAATGATAATGCTGTCTAACACATCATTTTGGCCTTGGTAAATGGTTAAATTTTCATCACCAAAATTTGATGGCCTAAGAAACAGGCTTATCTTCCTTATAAGTTCTGTGTGAGTAGAAGCTGTGTCTCTTGCTTTATACAGACCCTTTAGTACCATAAACGCAATTCTAAATACTAAGTAAAATGCTTTTTTAGTAATATTAAGTCAGTGTCTTTTCGTGGGGGTACAGCTACTAATATGACTAATGGATTCAGATTGGTTTTAATGGATGAAATAATTGATAGTTTTCATAACTCATTGACACTTTTGTTAAACAGCTTTTCTAGTATTTATAATAATCAAAAAAATTATTATTTAGCTCTGAAGAATTCTGTTACTGGTTATGGCCAGAAAATAGTGTATTTTGGTTAATCAGTATTCTCTTATTAAAGATTTATCCCATTTACTATGTATTGATTGCCGATTTTCTGAAAATTAGATTATAATATAATACATCTTACACTAAAACTACTTCACACATGATTTAATCATTCTTTGGTAATTCACAGGTACATCAAACTCTTGAAATATGTTAGCCATCTGAAAATTAATTACTATTAGACTGTAGATGTGTTTGAGTATTGCTTAATAGTTGTGGTTTATATACTTAACAGTGAAGTGTTTATTTTCATTGCTGTTGCTGAGTAATAGGTTAGAAATGTATCAGGAAATTAAACATTAAATCACATCCATGATGTAGTGGTAATATTAAAGGTTTGGTATATTTAGACACACGGGAAGTATTTCACAGATTCTCATGGTAGTGAATAGTATACTTTGGCCTACTGGAAGCAAGGTAAAAGAGGTATTAGACTGGCCTATAGCTGCTGTTTTTATCCTTTTATGTGATGTACACATTATTTGTGCCATATGAAGCAACAGCATCATCTAATTTTGGAAATGGCATAACTTTTTTATTTTTTAATTTTTTGGCATAACTTTTAGAGTTAAGACAGATCTGGGCCCTGATCCCAGAGATTCCTCTTGTCCTTTGGGCAAGTTACTACACTTCTCTGAAACATGGTTTTTATAATTCATAAAATGGGAATTATAATCTGGCCTATTTTATATGGTTGTATGAAGATTACATGATAAGTATAACTGTAAAACTCTCTAGCGTGATGTCCAGTAAATTATAATTCCCTTTCTTCCTCTCAGTCTTCTTCTGTTCATGACTTTTTAGTGCTTCCGTATTAGAAATAAAAAAAAACTTCTTAAGATTATTACTGAAATAATCCTGGAAAGCACAACACTTGTGATTTAGTGTAGAAGTGTTTTGGGGTTCTTTGTAGGGCTCCCATTTGAAGCCTGTGATGGACTTCCATTACTTGTCAGAGTATAAGCCTGACACAGGATCAGTAGATCTTGAGGTTTGGGCTGCGTTATTGAGTATCTGACATTTCCTCTTTGATTTGCCTTTCACATAGAATCTTGAATAAAAGGATCCCCTCTCCTTTTCTGCTGCTTGTGACCTTACTCCAGTAATTTCCTATAGGGAGAACTGGTGGTGTGGTGTTCAGCTGGGATTCGTGTTTGTTGAACACATAGCAGAATACACTTTTCGAATGGGTGGATTTATCTACAGTTTCCTATAAAGAAACTTAGTCTTGTGTTTCTTTTCTTCCTTTTTTTTTTTATTTTGATTTATTAAAATTTGGGAGATTTGGCTCCAGAGTAATGGACAGAGCTTGAAGTTCCAGCTTGAGAAGCTGAGTTAGCTCGCTAGGTCACAGGCTATAATTCTGCTTCCTGGATTGCTCAGTTAGGGCTAGAGAGTTCTTTAACCTGCAGCACAGCCCATTTCCTCTTACAGCCCCATTGGGGTGAATATAAAAGTATGGTATTGCTCTTCTTGTCAGAAAACTTTGGTGTGAGGACTTACTGAAATTATAATTTAGCTCAAAAACTGAAGGACTTCACAACTGTGGAAATAAACTAAAAAACATTGCATTGCACAGTTTAAATGGGTGAATTATATGGTATGTGAATTATGTCTCAATAAAGCAGGTTTTAAAAAACAGTAAAACAGATCTATTATTAAAAACATTATCCATTCAATTTAGAAGATCCCTGAAGAGTTATCAGTAGACTGCTTTCGGCTTTTCTACTCTAGTGGTAAGTATAATCATTTGGAAGAATCAGGAAGGTGCCAGATGATTTATTTTGGTGGTGTTTTTCTGTGGGCTAGCAAAAAATTTGTTTTTGTTTTTTTGTTGTTGTTGTTGTTGTTTTTGTTTTTGTAATTGGAAAGTTAACCAAATGTCTTTTCCTCATTTGGATTATGAAACATAATTTTAAAAAATTAACAGTTAATTCTCTGATTAAATTGTCATTTAGGATAGAGACCAATTTTTCACAACTTTTGTTTGCCAGAGAAGGCTGGTATCAAGAATTAACTGCCTCAGACCCCAGAGAAAGAAAGAAAGTGGTCTGTTCTTGTATTAATGTGCATTTTTGACCACTTTTCTAAAGGTCTGTTTTTTTTTTCCCCACCAGGTGCGGGAGATGTTGAAGATGAGGGACTCAAATGGGGCCCGCATGTTGACGTTGATAACAGAGCAATTCATGGCTGACCCTCGTCTGTCACTTTGGAGGCAACAAGGCACTGCGATGACTGACAAATACAGGCAGCTCTGGGATGAGCTGGGTAAATACAAGTTTCCTGACGGATTGCCATTGAGTTGTGTATGGGTAAAGATCATGGTTGAATGTTGAAAGCGCGTGGTTCGAGTGTTGCTGAAGGGAGAGCTACTCATTTATGAACTTACTGCCATTAGACACTGGTTAGAAGAAGGAGGGCTTGGGCTGGCATTTGCAGGAAATAATTTTGGGGAGGGTTTGGGGGAAATGGTCGGATCTTGAGGAAAGCAAGCACCGAAATCTGCCTTTAAATATTTGAAAAAGAAAGCCATTTTATTTTAAAATAGGTATTTTGTGTAGCAGAGCTGGTTACTCATTTCTAGAAGAGTATTGTACCCAGTTGAGCTAAAATTTGGCTCTTTCCCCCCTTTGAGTACATTAAAAGTGTCAAAAGTAGTTTGAACATTTATTTTTTTGGCTGTTACAGACTTAGATGAACTGATTGTCAAAAGGGAAAAGATAAAGTAAACTATAATTTTTATTGCTTCCCAAATCTCTGTAATAAAGATAAAAATATAGCAGGTGATTGAAGAAATGAGAAATCCACTAGTCAGGTTCACTGGGAAATTTGGGGTGGATGATTATTTTTATCCAGTGTTTATTGCTAGGGAATTAACAAATAATGCATTTGTTAAATTGTCTATTAAGAATGTGACAGATGGAATTTTTGACAAATGTTCTACCAATGCCTATATTAATTTTTATAGATATGTTTACTAGGAGATCCTAGTTTCATTGAAATTGAATAGTAGAACTCCTCATACCTTCCCCTTCTTTCCCTCTTGGCTGATAATAGATCATATCCTGCTGATTGATTCCATGCCAAGTCTGGACAAAGAGAAACTGTTGTTTGTGCATATAACACATGATTGTAATAATTGGAAGGGACCTTTGAGGTGAACTGTTCTATGGATAAGGAAACTGGACTCCAGGGAAGTTTAGGATCATCATCCAAAAGATGATATTGACTAATTTAGGGTTATGCCACAAGTTGGTAAAGAATTGAACATCAGAGTTTCCTCTTTGCAATTAATAGGATGTGTGTTCAGAAGCTTGCTGTGGGTGACAGCTTTTTTTTTTTTTTTTTGAATGTATACGTCTGCTACTTGCCAGCTATGTTAGATATTTGTTGGCCTTTCCCCTCGTATTTTTATTAATTATCTTATAATAACTTGGTCAAATTTAGATCAGTCCCTAACTATAGTAGTTTGTTTCAATATATTGGAAGAGTGTTTGAGAGCACAGTATGGTAGTTTGAAAAACACAGGTGTGATGGATATGTTTAAGCGTGGTCGAACTGAATGATAACACTTTCTTAAGTAAACCCTCCTCAGTTTTTTAATTCTGTAGTGAAATTGAATTGACTAGTTGATTTATGACATTCAAAAGTTCTACCTTAAAAAAAAAACTATAATAGAGGGAATCATTTAAAGAAAAAGTATTGGATTAATATTGAATGAATAAAATTAAAAGAGCTTTGGTACTTGGAGGAATTTAGGATTACAAATAACTAATTAGGAAGAAAGTGCTAATATTTTTTTTGGTATCCAAAAATGTACAAGTGATATAGTTAAATAAAACTTAACAGCGTTCATGTTTAATACATTAGCCCCATCTCACTTTTCCAAGTTGGTTTTGAAAATTATGCACTTTAGCTCTCTATCAAAAGTATAATTCTCATTAGGTAGAAGTTTCCACCAGCTGATTCTAGTTATACCCTCTGATGAACTGCTTTCTGATTATGGGCCAGGCTTTATATTATACAAGTTCTTTGATTTCAGTCTAGGATGAATATATCTCCTTGCCCTGTATTTTCTTTCTTCACAAATCATCCCTCCCCTCCACCCCATCATTACTAGACTGCTATATATTCTCTTGTGTACTCTGATGGCAAGCAGAGGTCACTAGCCACTTTAATGGAGTCTAAGTTTTACAAAGAATCCCATGTAGAAGTAACAGTAGCTATCATATCTTAATATTCATTCACCAAAAAATTAACTAAAAGTTGCTTCTGGACTACAAAAGGAAAGGATTTTGCTTCTTAATAAAATGGGAGAATTAGGGGCGCCTGGGTGGCTCAGTGGGTTAAAGCCGCTGCCTTCGGCTCAGGTCATGATCCCAGGGTCCTGGGATCGAGCCCCGCATCGGGCTCTTTGCTCAGCAGGGCGCCTGCTTCCCTTCCTCTCTCTCTCTCTGCCTGCCTCTCTGCCTACTTGTGATCTCTGTCTGTCAAATAAATAAATAAAATCTTAAAAATTATAAAAAAAATAAATAAAATGGGAGAATTTGACTTTGTGCCCCTGCATAGGGCTCACATTGCTTCAAGGCTCTGCTTTGGAATTAAATGCTGAGCACTGCCAGATGCCAGACATTGAGAAGAGGCTGAGTTTTGTCGGCAAATGGGATCTGCAAGTTAATTGGTGTTTTCTGCAGGCTTCTGGCTGTGAAATGAAATTGGAAGCCCTTTAGCCACATGGATAATACAGGACCTGAATACAAATGTCACATGTCACCATCAGGACCCACTGTGAGACAATAGTGTTCCCACTCCAACACTGCACCATTACAGATCATTTAAATATGGGGATTACATTTAAACTAAAAGCCCCATTTGCCTTTTACTGCAATTTAAATGTCCTCTTAGCAAAAGCTAAGTGACAAATTAAATGAAAAAAGTGCCCACATTTTTAAAGCTGTAATGCAAAACAACCTTTTATTGCTTCTCATGTGCCACGAATGAATCATTACACTTGTCAACCCTAAACCAAGCCATAATTGGAGCAGCTACTGTTATCAAAGTGGGGCTGCTCTGTGACAGCTTAATAAAGCTGAAACTGTTAAATTAAATCTCAGATGCTTAACTCCTTAGCACTGGTGAATTCGATGGGTCCATTTCTGGCAATGGCCAATACACCAGGAAAAAAAAAAAAAGATTCCTGGCATGAAAGCCTTAATCTGATGAGAGTGTACAAGAGTGTACAAGAGTATCTTAGCCAAGTAACTGCTTCTTGGCGGAGGGATTTGGAGTCATCAGATTGTTGGCCTGATTACAAAACGGTAGTTTTTGAGAGGATCAGATATTCCCCTCCCCAATATTTTCAACTTATGGAGTATATGTGATTTATTAAAATTTAAGCGTTGATGTTTCGGAATTAGTTTTAAAAATAGTATATATTCACATAACTTTGTCTCTCTTTTGAATAAGTATATACAGACTTCTCCAAAGTAGCAACAGGCCAGATTCCTTTCCCCATCCTCTGGCTAACAAAGGGATTGATTATACTTAGTTCTTCTTTTCTAAAATAAGTGCCTATGATATTCATTTGGTCTAAGTTAATTTTCGTGATTTATTCCCTGATTTTCATAATGTTGTATGAAATAGATACAGATGCATGCTATTAAAGATCCTGTTCAGTGCATCTCATTTGCAGATACATTATTCTTAAGCATGAATCTGTTTTTCATACATTAATTTTGCTTTTTCTATGTGATGTTCATTTTCTGAAACATAGAGCAATCTTCTCGGGATGAGTGCTGTTGTATCATGTTCAGTATAAGAAAATGCATACCTTAAAATCTCAAGAAAATGCATACCTTAAAATCATTGCATGGACAGAAGCTGCAGATTTGGTGGCGCTATAGAACCCACACCTCTTTAGTTGCATTCTTTATTCCATGACATGCAAATTTTCTAGAAAGCAGATCACAGCAATAACCCTTCGATTTCAAAGAATAACCCAGTGCTGATTGGTGGCGAGCACACCTACTGTTAGCCCTAATGGCTGTCTGTTCAGCACACTTAATTACCGCGGGGGTCTTTAGGGATGAGGGGATATATTGTAACCTCTCATCTGTGTTGATGAGTCTCTTTCCTTAAATGTCCTCCTAGACTGTAATTTTACTTTGCTTCATAAGACTATAGGTTGTGGCTGCCAGTCTATTAAAACCTAATTAAAATGGATGTTATTAGAGGAAACAGTTAAATAAGATTTAATTACAGCTTTTTCATGGGGAAAAAATCCTTAAATTTTCATTTTCAGGTATTACATAATGTGGTTTTTTTTCCCCTAAAATTTTGAACACTTAACTTTCTCTCTCAGCTGAGCCGTGTGTTTTGCTTATACCATGTAAACCCTGGTTTTTTGAGGGAGAGGCTGGGCTCTCATTGCAAGAGCCTTGCTGCTCTGAGCTGTGCTCACTCAGTTCACAAGAACAAGGTGTTACCTCTCAGATTTCTTTTCAAAGGTTTTGCTATGGGGGCGCCGGATGGCTCACTTCATGGACCATGCAACTCTTGATCTCTGGTTTGTGAATTTGATTCCCGCATTGGGTTTAGAGATCACTTAAAATCCTTTAAAAAATTTTTTTTTTTTTTTTTTTTTTTTTTAATATGGATACCTAACTCTGTGTGAGCAGACATAGCCATTTGGAAGTTTCTTTCTATTTTGAATTCCATTGTAAGGTTAGTTTAACCACTATTATTAAGCAACAATGGTAGTGTTCCTTGTAGAGTGTTAGATTGAGTGGGTCTACAGATTCAGGGTACTTGGAATCACAGTAAATCTTTGTTCAGCAGTAGAGAACTTAGCCCCTCATTCCATCCGTTGAAACCAGATTTATTGCAAATACTAAAAATTACCTACTTCATGGACTCAGAACACTGTTCTAGCTATACCTCTGATACAGGTAGTCATCTCTGTGGACTTATTCTCTACCCATCTTCATTATTCCGGACTCACATGCTTAAGTCACACATTTCCAGTGATGCTCTAAGTTATTTATAAGGGCTTTTGTGCACAGAGATAAGATTCCAGAGATTCTGCTTTGGGGGTCATTGTAGAGAAATTTCTGGGAAATGCCACCTTACATCTCCCAACATTTTAGGGTGTAAGTAATTTCACCATGGTTCAGAGCTGCTGCTTGGTTTATATGACAAATTTCAAATCTGGGCTTTCCAGATTTTGAAGCTGATGGTGGTTAGTGAATGGCTGAGGAGTAACTGCTTTT